AAGACTGTAACCCACCCGAATAGTATGAATGTTGTGCTTTTAATGATGTACTGTCTTATGTGTTACTTGTTTGTTCCCCCCCCCCTTCGAGTTGTAAGCCACCCTGAGTCCCCCCAGAGAAAAGGGCGGCATATAAATAAATTACTCTAAACTCTAAACTCTAATAATGATTTTTAAAACGGCAAAAGCATTATGTGATAGCATTTTGTTTCTAATCTCCCTCCCTCTTTCTTGCAGGACTTTTGATTTAAAAGAAGCTCTTCATGCAATAGGTATTCAGACATGTAGTGCAATTAATGAATCACTCACAAAGAGAGGCTTTCAACTATTAAATAAAGAAGTTCAAGAAAATGTGGTAGGTCAGCTCTGCAACATTGTTGAAGAAGACAATGCTGTCATCACCTTAATTGGTTAGTGATAAATTACTTGACATATTCTTAATATTAAAATGTATATTTATATGTATCTAGGTACCTATGATTCCTGAGCACTCTCTCATATACATTCATTGTGAAGATTGGGCCCACCTACTTCTCATGTTTAATAGTACATTGCTGGTTATAGATTTAGATTTAAGTTGCAGAATCCAGAAATCCTAGCTTCACTAAATGATGACCCCAGTTTTAGCCAGATTGATATTTGAAAGGAGCACCGGTTCAGGACAGCTAGCTTTGTCTCCCCTATTTAAAACATGAACCCGACATTAGCTTGCAATAGTTTATGCAGATGATTCTTCCCATTGACTGTGATCTTGTTAACTGTTGAATGAGCCAGTTCACTGGGTTGATCACATATTTTACAAACCAGCGCTGAAGTTCGCTAAACAAATTACTGTAAACCAAGCAAACATTATGACTTATGATATGTGAATCTTGGCAGACATAGCTATAACTGGAGACCTGGAGTTTGCTAAGGCTTTTGGAGCAGGAATTGGAAACCTATTGCTCTTAAAGTGTTACTAAATTATAATTCTCATATTGTCCACACTGAATATGACTGCATTGTAGACTTCCCTGAAAGAGGAAAGATGTCCTTTGTATAGATTTCCAATGCATTTTGCAGTCTACATGCCAAATCTTACATAGATTAGATATCAACTTCTAATGCATCAGTATCAGTCAGTGTGCTATGGTATCTGTATAGCCACACTGTCTTTTTTTGATGTGTGAATGCTTTGCAGTTAATCATGTTAGTTGATCAGTTTGCATTCATCATGAGAAATTAATGCTGTCCTAAATAAGGCCAGGAAGTCTAATTGTACATGTATGTGTGGTTATTTTTTTTTCTTTTTCAGGTAAACGAATTCATTTGTACATGAAAAGCTTGCTTGTTTCTCCATGCTTTCAAAAATCCATGCCTACAGTTTCTGGAGGTCTTGATGTGATTCAGAAAGAGATAGAGACTATTGGATCGCAGTATGCTAGCATTGTTAACCTTAATAAACAGGTTTATGGACCATTCTATGCAAGTATCTTTCGAAAACTGCTGTACAATGAGACAGAAACAAACAAAGCAGAACTTGAGACTTCTACCAACTGAAAATGTACAGCTTCTTTTTTGGTCCCTCCTTTTCACAATATTTATATTGTGATCTGCATTCTTCTTTTGACTATGCATAGCTTGCAGTGATGGCTGTTAATGTGAGACAGAGAGAAATGTGTTTATATTATACAGATTACAGTCAAATAAATAAAAGTTCCCTCCAAATTAAAGCAATACTACATTTTAAAAAGGTAACTTTTGAAAGGATTAATTCTGTTTCTAGCTATGGATTATAACATGTGGCACTTATTTTCTATAATTTTCTTTTTCTTACACAAAATATTTCAGACATGTATGATAAATGCCTAAATGATATAAATCTCTTAAATGTTTAATATGCTTATGCGAATGACTATGGTGCAATAATATAAATATATATTTCAGTTTCAATCTGAAATAATTGTTAGGGCATTTGCCTTCTGCCTTTACCCAAAATGGATTGCTCAAGGAACCCTCCCCCTTCCCCCCCCCCATTTCTCTCTTCTCACAAGTGAGATGATAGGGAAGATCATGGGTCAAATTTATTCAAGGCTGTTTCCTGTTTTGAGCTTTTAATGTATGCAGTCTTCATAATCAGTACCAGTTGTTTAGAATTTAGTAGCCTCTGATTTCACTTGGAAGAATAGTTCATTTTTAAAAAAAGATAAGTTATGATATTTTAACTCACTTGCTTAACAACTTGCTGTATTATGTACAAGCTATATGTATTTTATTTTTCTCAATTTATTGAAGGGTTAAAATACATTGAACATATAATTCTCTGTTTACTACCAACATGAATCAGAATTTGAAAATTGGAAACTCGAGAAGACAAATGTATGGTTTTAAGCAACAAATGCTGAACACCTTTTGCAGATTTATGTCACTAACTAGTTCCAGTTGATATTTTACTTGCTTTTTTAAAATAAAAATTGAGTTATTATTTTGGGCATAACATGAAACGCTCTTACCTAGAGATATAAAATTTCTGGAAATTTTAAAGCCATGAGTAAAAACCGTTCCCCCTCCCCATTTTTTTCCAGAAAAAAATAATTTTTTTTGAATAATTGAAAAAAAAAGTTCGGTGTGGAATAGTTTTATAAATTGCATGAAATGCAGTGTATATAAAAGTATCATGCTTGCAATAAAAAAGTAACCACCACCCCTAATCAGATTTGCCCCTTAACACCAATAGCAAATAACGTTAAGATCCACTTCAGTATTTAAGCTCCATAGAAGGTTTACCTTTTGAGTGGCATTTTTTAAAAAAAAGAAACACAAGGCACAACACATACGTGCAGTTTATTCTATCATTTTCTGAACTGCTATCATTTTCCATTTCTTCTTCCTCTTCGTCATTTTTCTCATGGACTTCTAAAATCTTTAGGGTTGCACGCATTGAAACAAGCTTTTCTACCCTGTCACAGGTCAGTTTGTTTCTTGATTTGGTATGAATATTACCAAACATATTCTTTCACATGCAGCAGAAGATGCAAGAGGTGTCAGAGGTTGTGTGGTGCAGAGACCTTGCCACCATGTTGCAGGAGGGATATGTTTTGCAGAATCCCAGAACGCATTCCTGGCCCAAAATCCCTGAAGATGTTCTATATTCTGCAACATTTGAAAGTACTTTTCCAACATCAAGTTCTAAGTGCCCAGCTTGCTTCATAATCCAGCCAAATGCAGCAGCTGTATTCCCATCATTCACACTACACTGCCTTTGAATCTTGGATCCAGTAGATTTGCAGCAGCATATATTGAATGGCAGCAAAATTCTTCTAGTTTCTTAATAAAATCTTTCACTTTACCTCTTTCAGCAGTTGCAAGTGGAGATGCACTTAGATTTTTAAAAATGGATATTTTTATCATAGCCATGTGGTTAGGAATATCTGACAAAAGTGTAGTGTCTGATTCAGATACATGGGTTGCTGAAAAAAGTGGCATTAAAATTTGTAGGGAGTTCTGCAGCTGAACCCAAAACACATCCTCATCAAGCACAGTGTTCCTTATATTTCTGGGAATTTTAAGATCCTCAATTATTACTGCTGCTTGAAGACTTGTCTTTTTAGTAAACTTTCAAGGGATCACCACTCCACCCCAAGGTGTTTTACTACAGCACTTCACTGTCACTATTTTCTGTGCATTTTTCTTCTTGCTGCTGCTTGAAGACTGCGGTGGCAACATGATTTTCTTTAATCCTTTGAAGGGTGTCCAGTTTCATGAAGTCACTAAGAAATAGATTTAGTCCATGAGATGCACATCCTATTGCAGTAATATATATCCATTATGATTTTCCATGCAGCTTTCATATTACTTCCATTCTCGGTCAATAAAGCAAACACTATATCACTCTCAATTTTCTCTAAAATTGCACATATTTCACTGCTTACTGCACAGTATGTCTGTTCCCTCCTGTTTCGATGCTTGTATAAAAGACTGGTTGAGGTATTGTTATCAGAAAGTTAATGATTCCTTCTCCCTGAACATTTGTCCATCTGTAAGTACTGCAAGAAATAGTGCTTCGCTTATTTTTCCATGATATGGTCATAATAACTTAAAAGTTTCCTGCCATCAAAGCTGATCCAGAATCATATATTGCTCTTGTAAGAGTATGATCAATTTTCTCCTGATTTTCAGGTGTCATTTTATCTATAAATGAAGGTCTTGTGTATTTTTGTAAGGCAGTGGTTTGCGACACTTCCTTACCTGAAGATGCTGTTAGTGAAGAAACATTTTGTGATGATCCAGAAGCAGCAGAAAGAGTGTTTCTGGAATTAGAACTCTGGAAGGAAAAGCAATATGCCCTTTCATTCTGGTCCTCATCATTTCATTCCATAAATTATTCTTTAATGACTTTAGGGCACCTCTGGCATGCAAGGATGTGTTTTGTCATCATTGTAGCATTTGGAAAAGTATATTCTTACAATATCTGCAAACTGCAGCTTTGCTCTCAGCAAAAATTGCTTCCAAACTCTCACCATTTTACAGAGAGAAGGAAAAGAAAAAACAATTTACTGACTAGACTATAGATAAACATTATTGTGTGATGGTGGAGAATTTAAGAGGAATCATTTAAGGGTTACAAAAGAGAAACGAATTTGTCAGACAAATTTTTCTTCTGACCAGTCAGTTAAGGCCTGAAAGGACAGAAACTATTGCCTACTGTATACCAAAAATTACTCAACTGTAGGAAGTCCGAGGTACATAGGTAAACTAAATTGGAGTCTTTCACCTGCAGTGCCCTCCTAGTGGCACAAATGCATATTTCTCTTCTTTGAGAACTGCATTGAGAAGTACAGCATTACTTGAATTGTATTCTAGAATTTGCATGTCTTCAGCTGAGAGAATTTGCAATAATTTAAGACTTTACAAAATGTCTCAGAAATCTTTCATTAAGGTCTTCATGTTATAGTTTGAATACCACATCATAGATATATTATTTACCATTGGAAAAGGACATATTTCACACTCCTTTTTTTTCTTCAAATTTTCTGGAAAAAAATGGCTTTGGAAAAAAAAACCCTGGTTTTCTTCCCAATTGTTACCAGTTTTTTTCCAGGCCTTGCCATCTCTACCCTTGCCCTACGATGCTTCTGAAGTGACTGTCACAAAGACTTTCAAGAAGGATCGTAATGTTTAAAACAACTGCTGATACATAGGTAATTGTTCCTACAGAAATAGGACTGTGTACCTCAGCCCATCAACCTGGTGATAAGCACGGAGTTCTGAAAGTTAGAATCTCTTCAAGATCAAAGAGATTTCAGATTAAGGAAGATTGATATGAATTCTTTTTGTAAAAAAAAATTCAAAAATATATTGCTAGGATATTTTTGAGCAAGGGTCTCCAACCTTGGCAACTTTAAGAGTTGTGGACTTCAACTCCCAGAGTTCCTCAGCACAGCTGGCTGAAGAATTCTGGGAGTTGAAATCCACAACTCTTAAAGTTGCCAAGGTTGGAGACCCCTGTTTTAGAGGAGACAACCATTTTTATTCATATATGTCAATTCCACATGGTATTGAACAAAATAACTTTTTGTGATGAATATATATTCAGCAATCCAGAGATGCTTATGATAGCCAACTTTAGTTTTACAAAATAGTTTTCTTAAATGGCTCAGTATCTTAGTGTTTTTTTAGAATATCTTCCTTGTTCTGGTATCCCTTGCTCTCAAATATTCCATCTTTCATTTTTCTAAACAAATTTTAGCAGGTTTGAAAAGACAGGATGTGACAGAAGATTGTGGTAGCTCTCAAAACATGTACCTATATGGCTAAAGGAAGTATTGAGACACAATATTTGTTGACACTAGTGACTTGTATCAAGAAGTAAATACGTGAATACCAAATATAGCGAATAAATGTGGCCCTTTGATGCAATACTATAACTTCTAGCATCCTACATGTTGGTCATATTAGCTAAGGCTGTTAAAAACTGTAGCTCAACAAATGGAGGGCTATACTTTACTAACCCATCCCATGTACTGAAAATGCAATTATCTAATTAAACCTTGAAATTTAAAAAGTGTAAAATATTTTGGACCTATACATATTTTGATAAGTTTGTGAAGTTATAATATCTACTAAAAAACCTTTCTGTAATCATGTTATGGTGTATATATATTCTATTTTTAAGCATTTTACATTATGCGTAGTGGTGAATGTATGTCTCCACAAATTTTTAATTTACTTAGAGGATTAGATCTAAATTAGTTTAACCTGGATACCATTGAAAACAATGGAACTAGTCAAAAGAACAAGTCCCATTTATTTCAGTGGATATTAATTGTAATTAAGTGTATGAATCCAGCCTATCTATATTGTGCAATATTCGTGCAGAAGATACTGTGTGGTTTTTATAAATGACTTGAAAGGGGCATTTTAATATAGCATGATATGTATGTCCACAGTTTTTGAATATCTCACAGCTAACCTTCATAATCTCTTTAATGTTCAGAATTTAAAGTACAGTTGTTCCTCTTGCATGTTACTTACTGATATTATTGAAGTACATTTACTTCATTTGTCTAAAGTTAGATATGTATGTAATTGGTTTATTAAGTGGTTTTTGTCTTAAATTCATTCATTAAATTTGGTTTCATTTAAAATGTGTGCAGATTCTCATTTTAATGTCTAAATACAAAAACATGGTTGCTGGATCTACAGTAATTCTTGGTATTTTCAATGGATACTTTAAGGGTAACAACAATCCTTAGTGGCAAGGGAAGGGGGAAGAAAGAAAACAAGTAAAATGCAATAAAAGTATATTGTATCAGAACCATTAAATTAGGCTGTAATGTTTTAGTCAGCATATTGAGATGTATTGATGTTGCTACCAGTGACATACGGTGAGATTTATGGCCGGTGAGGCAAAAAGAAAGAAAGCGGCTTTTGGCCGCTGTCAAGAAAGAGGCTTTTGCTCGCTCCAGCGTTATGTCCACCATAGAGGTGGGACGCTTTCAAGCAAGAGGCTTTTGGCCACTCCGGCGCTATGTCCGCCATAGAGGCGGGATGCGTCCCACCTCTATGGCGGACACAGCGGCAGGGCTTTTGGATGTCCAAAAGCCCCGGCGCTGTGTCCACCATAGAGGCTTTTGGACGCTCTGCCGCTGTGTCTGCCATAGAGGAAAAACTTCCTTAGACCAACGGAAGACTTTAAAAGCAGAGAGGACCTATGGAAAGCTTCAAAGAATCAATGCTGGATGGAACCAAACCACCCTGCTGCCCCGGCGCTAGAGGCAAAAGCCATCCTGCCGCTATGTCCAAAAGCCCTGCCGCTATGTCCGACATAAAAAAAAGTGCCAGCCCGCACGTCAGCAGAGGCGGGTAAAACACACACATACACAAATTACTTACAATAATACAATTACTTACAAATTACATTAATTTTGAATTCCTCCCCCTCCCTCCGACCCACATACCTTTTCCAGCTGTTTCACAGAGGATTTCAACTCTGCTCTTGTCTGCCATAATGAAAATGTAAAAATGTAAAAGGAAAAAGGCAAGAGCTGCTGAGGTCAGGCTGGGTTAGTTGCTGCCAGAGTCCCCAATGGATGATTCTGCTTAACTGTTTAAAAAAGCCTCTTAAAAAAGTGCCCTCTACAGGAGGTGGCAAGAGAACCAAGTGCCTCATCTACATAAGGAATTTTTCGGCTTTCAACCCTTGCTTAACTCTGCTCGAGTGATCATAAAGATAGACTAAATGAGCCACGTGGTTCTCCCGCCTCCTCCTGTAGAGGACATTTTTTTAGAGGCTTTTTTAAACAGTTAAGCACTAAGCAGAGTCATCCACTGTGACTCTGGCAGCAACTACCTCAGCCTTTTTCCTTTTAATTTTTCTTTTCTTTTCATGATGACAGTGGTGAGGCTCTGCCTCCCCTGCCTCCCCTGACTGCACGTCACTGGTTGCTACATACATGGCAACTGTCATAATCACTTAACATAAATATCCAACATATTTCAGATTACACTATTTGCTTATACCAGGCCCAGCTGCCCATTTCAAGCTTAAACCTCTTTTTTTGTTACCTGATACCATCAGACAAACTGTGTCTATATAATACACTCAACCCAAAAAATTGAAGACGACTGTGAAAGAAACGGGGGACTTGGTGGACTGCAGAGGCTCAGATTCAAGCTATGAATGTTTGGTGGGTGATTTGAGCCAATCATTCTCAGACCTATTTCACAATAGGGGATGGAGTACTATTACAGTTGCTTTAAGATCTTGGAGAAAAAGCAAAAGACAAATCTTGCAAGTAAAAAATAAACTTGAAATTACCACACTGAGACTGAAACTAGAAATAAATCAACTGCAGATTGCAGACAATAGAACTCCTGTTTTATTATAAAAATTTGTATAAAATACATATTTATATACCTGTGTCCAAAGAGATACTTAGGATTCTGCAAATATAAATGTATAACTAAGGATAAACATAAAAAGATATCAGTTGCTTTTAAATGGGATTTTTTTAATTGTCTGAAATTTTGCAGTTCCTTTAAAATATTGTCTGAATCTGACCACACTCAATCCATGCACAAACTAATTTCAATGTATTTAGAGTAGGCTTAGAAGTAAATGTGCCAACTAGGTTAATGGTTATATTTTAATCTATAAAATAAATTTACAACTTTATAAAGTGGATAAAAATGCTGAACTTTACTAATGCATACACCAAGGAATATGGGTTTGCTACTTTATATGCCACATGGTATGGCACAGGCACAGGACCTGGTGCAACTCAATCCTGTGGTGCCTTTGGCTAATCAGTCTCTTTGACTAACCTCTTCGCAGGATTATGCACTTTATATCCATAATATAACTAACAATCCAGGCAACCATCTGATACCACATAGAAACACAGAATATGCTTAACTCTCTGCTAGTGGTTCTTCAGATTTTTGCATTCAGACATGGTCCAGTTGGTACATCCTTTACACTTCTGAAGGAACCCTATAGATAGACTCTTAATATTTATGAAATAAATACATAGTTTGGCTATTATGTGTCACATAGAACTCACACATAAATTTTACACTCTAAAGCAGTGTTTGTCAAACTTAAGTGACTTTTAAAATCCACGGACTTCAAGTCCCAGAATTCCCCAGGTAAACTGAATCAAAGTCCATACAACTTAAAAGTTGCCAAGTTGAGAGACGTTGCCCTGTAAAGGATGTTCTGTTGGAAGCAGTTTCTAATTATTTTGACTGCTTAATTTCTTTACAATGAAAAATAGTGGGTGGGCAGGATTAGTATGGGCTAAATGAGCTTTGCTCTTGGTGAAAGAGTTTCGTCCAAGGAGCCTGAATTACGGTACACGCATGGACAACAACAGGCATTTAACTCTGATCAAGCGGTACATTTTCTAACGACAGATCAGCTTTTTAGTAGAGCATTGAACGGAACCTTCTTTTCAGTTGGTGAGTTGCAGAGGGGAGAGATTTCAAGGGTACACGCTTGAAATCTGTCCCAGGAAACGCTGGGTCTGCAAGGGGAGCGTTCTGCATCATGGATGCAGCAGAGTTGGGAGCTTTTACTCCCGAGCAAGCGGCGGCTCCTATAAATACGGTGGAGGTGAGTGAAAGCAGCGGGAACAAAAACAGAAAGCGATTGTGAAATCTGAAGTTTTTTAAACTTGATGACAAAAAAAGAGAGAGTGTAAATCTAGTTTTAGAGGCTTCCGATTAGAATTTCATTATAAATACATATCCTTTTCTGACCCTCTTTTTACTATTGGAGATTATAAGAGAGGCATTAGTATGAGGATTATTCTTTATATTATTCATGTTGTCTTGTATTCCTGTATGGACTGCACCAGTAGAGGCTAAACCAATTTAGTTGTATTCATCATGATATACAGCAGAGGTCTTCAAACTTGGTAACTTTAAGACTTGTGGACTTCAACTCCCAGAATTATAGCATAGTTGGCTGGAGAATTCTGGGAGTTGAAGTCTACAAGTCTTAAAGTTGCCAAGTTTGAAGACCTCTGCAATAAAGGCTTTGACTTTGATTTGACTTTAATCCCTCTGTAAGATGAAGCATAGAGTAGGTAGTTACATGAAGTCAGACTATCTTTCCTTCTCGGCATCCTGGTGATTAGAAAGAGACTCACTCTCCAGACAAGTAGGGCTATCCTTGATACAATTCTCGGTTTTCTTAAGATAAAAAATCCAAAGATTGATTTTTAAAAAAAGCAGTAGTAGATTTGCTAGTATTAGTGTTCCTGTATGTATAATACTATATTCCTGAAGCAGTAGTTTTTAATGCATCTCTGTTTTTGACTGTACTTGTGGGGCCCAGATGCTATTCTTGTCTCCCATATTTCTCTTTTTAGAGATCAGAAATTCTGGAAACTTGACTTTGTTGGAGCTTGAGGAAGTCCAGATAAAACAGCTGTTGCTCCAACAGCTGTTAGAGTGCGTTGCTATTTTGTGTTTGATCAGAGCAGCTTTGTTCCACCACTGAAGAAAGATGCTCATGGGTTCTTCAATAACTAGGTGCCTGTGCATCTCTCACATATGTGCACTTTGCTTGTGAAATTTCTTGACAAATTCCTACAAAAATAAAAGACTGCAATGGTATAGTAGATCATTAATAGAAACAATAATGGAAGAAGAACCCAATGGGAGACTTGATTTGCCAAAGTAAGCCAATATTTCCAAGAATTTTGGTTTACTAGGAATGAGTGTGTTGCTTAATCACTTTGGCTTGCTTTTAGGTTTCTGATTCTAGCCAGAATTTCTGGTTTGGGTTTATGATATCCTCCATGTTTTATTTAGCCCTCTGTTTGACAGCAAGAGCCATTTAGAAATAACCAAGAATTGGAGTTCAACATGCTAGCTCATTAAGAGACAGAAACTTTATTTCAGTCATTGGCCAATAAAAATCATTCAGTAAAACAAAACCCTTAACATCTGTGTATCTGGCAACCATTTGTGAGTCCCAATATTCTAGTTTATTCACAATAATCTGTTAGCTATTGCATATAAGCAAGATTTTCTTATATTTACATTGGCTTTAAGGCCATGATTTAACCTGTTTGCTAAAGAAGCCTGGTTTTGAAGATCCCTACCCTCCTTACTAAATAGAGAATTCTAAATTTATGGAAAATCTGAATGAGAAATCTGTTAGGAAGTCCAATACTTCTTAAATTCTGTAGAATAAAAAATACAATATAAATGAACTAAATTTGCAATCTTTGCAATATTGTACTAGTATTCATTCATCTAAATCAAAAAGTTCTAGTAGACTTTCTAGATCAGGGGTGTCAAATTCGCGGCATCACGGCAGCGTCACATGACGTATCGGGATTTTTTCACACTTCGCTAAACCGGGTGGGGCCAGCACTTGATGCATCCGGCCTGTGGGCCGGGAGTTTGACACCCCTGTTCTAGATACATGTTGTAATAAATATATCTTAGTACATATTACTATGGATAAAACAATAATTATAAAATTATTGATTTTTTAAAAAACAAAATATTTTTCTTGAAATTTGTGTTTCACATATTTTACTGTTTTGATGTACTTTTGTTTTCAGGAAAAATGGAGACTACTTCCAGCTTTTTTGAAGGTTAGTACAAGTACAACCAGATTGGGGAAATCTTTTTCCTTTTTTTCACAAAATAATTACATATAGTTGCTGGTTTTCTCAGTTGTTGTCTGCAGTAATGAGAAAATGTATTTAAAATAGAATATTTTTGGTGTGCATTTTGTTATTTTTTTATCTGGACTACTAATTTTTCTTTCTCTAATATTTTGCATAATATTACATCTTTTCCTTTCAATTTTACTCTCTCAGGTATATTTTGGAATTAAAATTAGAGTGAGTTTGTGTGGGCTGAAAGGTAATACAACAGCAGCCAATAGGAATAATGTAGTTTGGTTACCTTCCTAGTTTGCATTATTTGTTTATATGATTAGCTATATCTGTATTTTAAAATATTTATTGGTTCAGAAGGAAGATCTATTTTATCTTCTTTATCTTGGGCCAACTAGTTCATTATAAGCAGAGCTTGAGCATACGGTAAGTCTTTTCATGTTATTGTACCTCAGTAAACAGTGTTACTACAGGCCTACTCTCCCTGATTCTGGAAGATACAATCCAAGTTTTCTTTTTAAAAAGTTTTATTATACTTATATGTTGTCTTCACCTTTTATGTTTTAAATGTATACTAAGAAATCTAGTATGTGAAGCAATCCAATATGTAATTATTATGCATAATAACTAATGCATTATGCACTAATCTTCACATTGCCAGGATAGTTGAATTCTTTATGTAAAACCAAATTCATTTTTAAGTAAGACATGGAAATCCTTCAAGTAAAACTTCAAAGTATTAAATGAGATTTAAGCAGTTCAAAAGTTCTATATATTTTCTTCACTGAAGGTAATCTTCCTATTTTAGGTAAAAGGACTTGTAAAGCAACATATAGATTCATTCAATTATTTCATCAATGTAGAGGTAAGCCATTTTGTTTTATTGAATATTAAAGCCTGTAATATGCAGTAGTTCTTGCCCTATAGCCACAATTGGAGCTGAATTTGTCATAAGTCAGGTTAAACCCAACTTTACAATGTTTATTATGGGCTTTAAATGAATCACATGGTTATTAGAGCTGTGGTGGCGCAGTAGTTAGAATGCAGTACTGCAGGCCACTTCTGCTACCTGCTGCCTGCCTGCAAGTTGCCAGATCAAATCACACCAGATTCAAGGTTGATTCAACCTTCCATCCTTCTGAAGTCAGTAAAATGAGGACCCAGATTGTTGGGGCAATATGCTGACTCTGTAAACTGCTTAGAGAGGGCTATAAAAGCACTGTGAAGTGGTATGTAAGTCTAAGTGCTATTAAGTGAATCCAGGTTCCCCAATTCATATTTTTTTTACCAGAAATAGGCAAAAATAGCGAATCACAATCATGTGACCATAGAATGCTACAATACGAGCTAATTTCCAATTACCCAAATTGCAAACACGTGATTGTAAGCATGTTGAAACAGTTGTAAGTCCAAGTACAGATTGGAAGTCACTTTTGCTGTTGTAACTTTGATTTTACAATCATAAGTCAAGGACTATCTGTTAAGCATATCCTTCAACCTATGTAAACCTTCCTTCATTTTCAGATAAAGAAAATAATGAAAGCCAATGAAAAAATTACAAGTGATGCTGATCCAATGTGGTATTTAAAGTAAGTCTAAATTTTATTCCGGTTGTAGCTTGAATATCCTGAGCTCCAACTTCCATGGAAGGTTTTGTTTTATCCATAAAATCTGCTGTGAAATGCTGCAGATGTACAGATATAATATAATATAATTCAGGGGTGTCAAACTCAAGGCTGTGTGCCGGATCCAGCCTATGAAATGCTTAGATCTGGCCCGTGGGACCACTCTGGAAACAGCAAAGGACCAGCCCATGATAACCTCTGCAAGCAAAAACGGAGTTCCCGACCTGAGTGATATTGAGCTGCCCACGCCTACCCTGGCTACACCTACCCCAGCCTTGCCCACCTTGGCTCCTCAAGATCAGACACAACCCTGATGCGGCCCTCAATGAAATTGAGTTTGACACCCCTGATATAATTGATTGAGCTAAGATGGATTAAATGGATGGTTTTCCTACAAATAATAGGTTTTTTTTTTTTTAAAAAAAACAGATTTTTTTCTTGCAGTTTATATATTTGTAAATTTCTGTAAATCATAATTAGTTTTACTAAATGGAAATATAATAACATTAAAACATGAACTGCATATTTGGCAATTGATTCATACTGTATAATTATTTTTATTGGGTCTTAACCTTGCAGATATCTCAATATTTATGTGGGTACTCCAGATGTTGAAGAAAGCTTTAATGTAACAAGACCTGTTTCTCCTCATGAGGTATGTGATTCTGTTTAGCACTTCACTTTGGAATTTTTTTGACAACTAGCAAATTAGAGTGAGTTTACAATAAGCTCTCAGTTAAGGGGGATTGTCTATTAAAGTAGAATAATAGTGTACATAGATGTATGTAACAGATTTTTGTGCATGTAATATTTGCACAGATTTTAACCATTGCTTCTGATATCCACCAAACCAATTCCACTATAATGCTTTAATTTAGTATAATAGTATGGATAGCAATATTGCTAGCTGTAGTGCTATAAATAAAATCCTAGTAGTTAAAATATGTCTCTCAGAAAAGCTTTGAAGGAGTGTTGAAGACTTCCACATATGGAACATTTTTTTTTCTTTTAAGTGTCGCCTGAGAGATATGACTTATTCTGCCCCAATTACTGTGGACATTGAATATACTCGAGGCAGCCAAAGAATTATTCGTAATGCATTACCTGTTGGCAGGTAAGTAACTAATATTTAGCCTTAGCTAATACATACCAGAAAACAGTTAGGAACTCTGGTGGATAATGTGCATGACCTTGAGCTGAACAGGCATCAGTATTACAAGTAGCACTTTTATGAACAATATACTGTAATACTGGTCATTTTCACCTGAGTGTAAAGCAGAGGCATTATAATAGCCTAGCAGTTTGAATTTAATCCATTTTAGGATTAGAATACTCAGAATAAATCTACCTGATGAAACTTCTGTCTGAGACCAGGTAGTAGGTTGAATCTGGAAAGATATGCAATGGTGGGTCTCTACTCCTAGGAATAGAATCCCATAGCTAAGACAGTCTCTAGGCTTGAGCTATTCTTTGTGATTGTCCTCTTAATCACAGAAACAGTTGTATTGAGCCAAATGATTTTTTAGAAGTTGGTTACCTTGTGGATGGCAGATCCTTTGCAGCCTGACTTCATGCTGAAGTGAAGTACCAGCTATAGCTCCTGTTTCTGCTATAAAGAAGTTAGATTTTATATGGGTAGATTTCAATTCATGTGGCCTGCTGAAAAAGGAAGATAAAGAGAACCAGTGTGATGTAGTGGTTAAGGTGCTGTCCTAGAAACCAGGAGAGTGAGTTCTAGTTCCATCTAGGACCGTGATGGCAAACCCATGTCGCCTGGCACACGCGGCATCGCCTGTTCCTCTTCCAGGTTTCTGGTGTGCATGCCCGCGTGACGATCAGCCATGCATGTGGCAGTGGTGGAAACTGGAAGAGCTGGTCTTCCGTTTTCCAGTATGAACAATGCACGCCGGCCAGCTGATGGTCACACATGCATGCGCGCTAGTAACTGGAAGACTAGCTGGCCACTGCGCACGTTCATGCCAGAAACCAGAAGTTCATTTTCTGGCACGCACGTCCCCTGGGCAGCTCCTCTTCCGCATTGCATCCAAGACAAGTGTGTATGCTCTCCCTTTTTGGCACTCTGTGCCGAAAAGGTTCGCCATCACTGATCTAGGACATGAAAGCCAGCTGAGTTTAGGCCAGTCATTCTCTCTCAGCTCAACTCACTCCACAGATTTATGGGGAAAGTAGGAACTAGAAGAAGTACTATGTATGTTCACAGCCTTGAGTTACCTATAAAGTAATAAAGGCAATACAAAAAGCGGTTAAATAAATGAAAAGGGTGTGAATGTTTCACACATAAATATTGGTGAAATTTTGGTGGTAGATTCATAGACCTCCAGTTATCGGCCAATATATTATCTCTTCAAAAATACTTCTCTAAGCCGATTTTGGTGAGCTTTTATACTATTAATGTGGACCTTATGCATTTTAAAAGGCAAAAAAGACTTTTATGCTAGTTTGGTCTTTGGTCTTGTTAAGCTTCAAGGCATATTTAAAGGACTAAAAGAGTATGCCAATTTGTACATAGTGTGTTGCCTATTGTGCTTTGTTGATGAGCTGCTAGTGCATTTAAAAGCTAATATTTATTATACTGGTAACTAGTGACAGTCAGTATCTTTCATTTTGCTTTTGTAATGCTAATTTATGCTATTCATGCAATTAAGCAGCAGTAGAAGCCCTTTCTTGTTTGCAACCAGCAAACAATGATTCTTAACGCAATCATAAAATCACGGGGCAACAAAGAAAATAACTTTTTGTTGGGTCTTACGCCTAGTAGACAGATGACAAAATCCTCACGTCCATCTGCTATAGGGGATTTATAGTCAGTGATGACTATTGGCTGTGCAATCCGATTTGCATATCTTGGGTATAGTACTTTTGCATCATGTGGTTTGATTGCAAGCAGCAACTGTCCTTTGGAGGAATAGATCTCAAGCTGGAGATCGTATTCCAGTCTGATATGCATTAACATCAGAGGACAGGAAACAAAATAGGATGTGAAAACTTTAGCATGAGTAAGGTTCTCTGATTTGATTAGATCTTTTGGATCTTGAGCCTGTGTGAATTGATGGGTAGATAATTAGATTATAGAAATGCAATTAAAATCTTTCCTGTAATGTCAATTCTAATGTCAATTTCCCATATAGCATTATTAAAATTTTGTTTTATCATCAAATCCAGAGTAAATGGTTACTCTCGATTCCTACAAATTACCTGCATTTTCTTTCCTATTTTCATTTCAGGCAATTTAGGTTAAGTACTTACACAGCTTTGAATGTAAATCATTTTTTTAATTTGCATATAAAAACAGTTCTTTCTGTTTTCTCTGCCTTGTTTCTCTGGGATACTGGTGCCAGATTTACAAATATACAATAGCAGAGTTGGAAGGGACTTTGAGGTCTTCTAGTCCAACCCCCTGCCTAGACAGGAAACCCTATACCATTTCAGACAAATGGCTATCCAACATCTTCTTAAAGACTTTCAGTGTTGGGGCATTCACAACTTCTGGAGGCAAGTTGTTCCACTGATTAATTGTTCTAACTGTCAGGAAATTTCTCCTCAGATTTAAGTTGGTTCTCTCCTTGATTAGTTTCCACCCATTGCTTCTTGTTCTACACTCATTTGCATATATGCAATTTTATTTCTCTGTACTAAATGAATGAACCTTCTAAATTAGCAACTCAGTAATTAGGTTATGGGTATTCTCATTTATGAGCTGCCTCATTTATTGATCATTTGCAGTTATGACAGTGATGAAAATTTAACTTCATGATCAATCCTTGGTTTATGATCTTTGCAGATTTATAAAGGAAAGTATACCTGAAAGAAGATCATAAGCAATGTTGTGATTTCACTTAGTGACTGCTTCACTTGGTGGCTCCAATTGTCACTAAATAAGCACTATCTATAATTATATTGCTACTCTACGATGATTGGCAGATTAAGCAATTTCTCTCCAGCAAATGAGCCTTGTTTATTTGGCTAAAGTAATTCCTTTATTTGCACATACTCACCACATTGGTTCAAACATTTCTAATCTTAAAAACAGATGTGAAATATGGAAAGTTTCAAGAGAAGGTTATAAAGAATGTTTCCATTTAGCAAACTTCCATATATTCGTACCTCATTATCTGGTTTCCTGTTTATAGATTTCCCAAGGCCTACTTGTTATAAGAACTGTATTTATAACAGTCCAAAAGGGCTGTTATACATTGATTTGGCAGGTAAAGATCAATAAAGTTGTTTCTTTCTGCTTTGTATGATTGGCTGTCCACTAACATAAATAATGTTAACATAATCCAAGTCATAGTTGATCTATGATAATTCTTCGCCTTGGCAATGAAATAGAGAACGTCTCTGTTCATATATAAAAAAAGAAGTTTTGCTTATTACCTGGAACTACGAAAAAAGACATTGGCTACCACCATTACTATCTGGCTTACTATTTTTGCAGTGTTATTTAGCTGTCTGAAAGATGAGCTGATATACCGTTTAACATGCTGTTTTTCTTCCTATAGAATGCCGATAATGTTACGCAGTTCCAATTGTGTTCTCACTGGGAAGACTCCGGCAGAATTTGCAAAGCTTAATGAGTGTCCTTTAGATCCAGGTTGCAAATTTATTTTCTAATATTCTTTGCTATTTTGGTTAAGCATTGATTCCTTTTAAGATAGTAATTACTAAGATTTTGCAATTATGAATTAATGTGTGATCTTGAGATTTTGCAACTCAAAGCTGCAGTGAAAACAATTGCTAAGTCTCCAGCACCAAAGCAGCATCATTGGTAGTGGTATTTCATGCGATTTGCTTGTATTCAGATTCCTGATATTCCTTAAATTTAATTAGCATATTTATAGAGCCATTCATCTCACAGACATGCAACTCTGGGCAGCATACAACACAACAATAGTGGGCTCATGTAGGTGTTAAATAGAAATGCAGAGTGTACCAAACCTTTCAGAACTCCATAAAATAAGGGTTAAGGATTGGACCTCTCCCAATTGACTGGTACTGGCCCCACAGAGAAAGTAAGTGAACCAGCACAATACTCTGTTACCCATTCCCAGCTGGTGTAGCTGGTCCAGAAGGATACCATGGTAAAGCCATAATAAATGCCACCAGGAAGTCAAGAAGAGATGGATGTACTACCTCTGTCCTACCCCCATCAGAGATCATCTAAAAGAGTGACCAACATCATCTCCATCTCATATCCATATCCTAACTGAAAGGAGTCCAGGTTTATTTAGGGATTTATTATTTTGCTGAGCGTTCAGAAAATTCAAAATGCATATTTCAAAATTCTATAAATCTTAATTAGAATTCAGCAACTGAATAAACGCTCATCTTCTATTTGGTAGGTGGCTACTTCATTGTCAAAGGAGTGGAAAAAGTAATTCTTATTCAAGAGCAATTATCAAAAAACCGAATAATAGTGGAAGCTGACAGAAAAGGAACAGTTGGTGCCTCAGTTACCAGGTGAGTAAAGAATTACGGAATAACTGTCTCTTATGTTGAGCTTGGAACTGGAATTCAGGAAGATGCTTTAGAATTATTCAAGAACTTGGGCATGTTAAGGATGAGTTCTTTTCAAATACTTGCCAACATAATCGCCTGTCACAAACTGATAATCCTCAATGTCTGTTGTGGCCCGCCAGCAGTCAGCAGAGCTGGCAGCAGAGTTGGACAGTGATGAGGTTGTGGAGGAACATAGGCCAATCCTGGTGGTTGAGGAAAGCTCAGATGAGGACTCTGCATCAGAGGCAGAGAGGGAGTTAGACAGCAGTGAGGCAGAAGAACAGCTAGAGCCTGTTCTCAGTGTGTGCATGCGCAGAGCTTCCATAAAACAAGAACAACTAAGAAATCAGGGTCAACTTAAGAGTAAGACCTTGGAGGTGATTGGCCCCTCCCATAAGAAACAAAAAAGAACAAAGGGGGAGTGGGCTTTTTCAGGAAACAATTTATTTATTTGGTCGGTTCAAGTGTGGAAAGTTCTGTGTGTGACTTTAAGAGAGACTGTGCAAAGTTTGCCTTGCTCTGCATTTGAAAACTAGTTATCTGGCAGTGCTCCAAACGAGATAAAGTGCATGTGTATTTGAGTATTTTTTTGAGTATTTGAAAATTTATTTATAGGCCGCCCTTTTCCCTGGGGGGACTCAGGGCGGCTTACAACTCAAAGGGAGGG